GGGCCGGGACCATTCCCTGGGGAGCCTGGGCAGTGCCAGCACCCTCGGGGGGAAGAACCTTTCCCTGAGCTCCATGCCAAGGCCTGGCACAGCTCCAGCCCTCGCTGGGCTCCAGGAGCTGTCCCAGAGCAGAGCTCAGCCCCTGCCCCTCTGCCTCCCCTCAGGCTCCTGTGCTCCAGCCGAGCTGCGGCGCTCCCGTTCCCTCGGGGCATGGCCAGAGCCGCCATCCGGAGCCAGCGCTCTCAGGGATGCTCGGGGATTGCTGGAGTGTCTGCAGGGCCGGGAGCTGGACTCGATGATCCTTACAGTTCCATCGCAGCTCAGGATGTTCCAGGATTCTGTAATCCAAGCTTGGCCGGGTTTGGCTGGGGCTACGACCCCAGGGCTGGAGCCACCTCATCCATCCTGCAGCTGAGCACCCCCGGCTGTGGGCACAGTGATGGTCATGGGTTCCTTGCTCGGTGGCCCACCAGCCCAGCATCGCCAGCACAGATCATGGGGGAGCACCGTGGACCACAGCAGGAGAGTCTGCAGATCTCAGCATGGACCACTGGCCCAGCACATTCCCATATTCCCACCATGGACCACCATGGACCACTGGCCCAGCACATTCCCATATTCCCACCATGGACCACCATGGACCACTGGCCCAGCACCCAGCCTGCTGCCTCCAGCATGGACCACCAGCCCCAGCCTCGATCAATCCCCATGGGCCACCATGGACCACCTTCCCAGCACAGACCACTTCCCCAGTCTTAGTACACCCCACTGCTTCAGCATATCCCAGCTTGGGCTACCATAGACCACCAGTCCCAGCATGGACCACCTCAGACCAGCTCCCTGCTCCCCCAGCAGTGCTTGGGCCTCCTGGAGAGCAGCAGGACACTGGGCCGGTTTGGGCAGTGACCCGAGGCCAGGCCAACAACTGGTTCCACATGAGGGCCCAGCCCCCTCCTTGCCCCAGGTAGTCACCACACCTGCATTTACCAGTGGGGAAACTGAGGCACGCAGTGACAGCACTTTGGCTGAGCCGAGCCTGTGCCAGAGCAGGGACTTGGAGCCAGCCCTGTGGGGATCAGTAAGGTGAGGGGCATCCACAGCTCCTGGGAATCACCTGGCACTGCCCCTCCCTGCGGGGAGCGCTGGGCTCCAGGACAGTTTAGGTGAAAGGAGGCGAGAGATCTCTGCAGGCTGCTCTTGGGATATCAGGTTTATTAGGGATGGAGAAAGCTCCTGCCTCGAGCTGCCAGATGCAGCACGTGGCGAGGCTTGAGGGGATGGGTGAGGGGAGAGACAAGAGGATGCTCCAGGGGAGGGTGGAGGTCCTATGAGGGGGAAGATCCAAGAGAGGGTCTGGCCCCTCGGAGATCCCTTATCAGGGGCTTCAAGGTGGGCCGGAACAAGGCTTGGGCCAATGGGGTTACAGGCACTTGATGTTTTAGGGGAGGGTTACAGGTGCGGGGTGAATGTACATTTTGGGGGGTGAGATGGAACAGTCCACTTGACCCCTGGACCCATCCGTAGGCAGGGGCATTGTCCAGCTAGCAGGGAGGACCGTTCTCATCCTGGCTGTGTTATTTATGAATAATTATATTTATCCATCCTTCCCAACACCTCCCTGCTCAGAGCAGGGAGACTCCACCTCCAGCAGGTGAGGCTCTTCTCGGGCCAGCAAGGACCAAGCCCTCCGAGGGGAAACCCCATGGAGTGGAACCGGACACGCCAGCCTGGAGAGACAGGATGATCCAGGAGAGCCTCACCACTTGTGCAAGGAGAGATGGGAAACTCAAGGGCAATGCCAGGAACAATTGCATGATGCAGAGAAAGGTGCACAAGGATGAGTTGGCCTTGGCCAAAGGGAGGGACAAGGGAAAGATTGCAAAAGTTGTGTTTTGTAATAGTCTTAAGTGAAAAAACCCTCTTTGTTTTCCAAACTGGGCACATGCTGCTGCCTCCTCCCTGCCCATCGCTCCCACGGCATCCCAGCAGAGCCCAGGAGGAGAGGAACCCAACACTGAGCAGAACCAGCAGCTGCTGACCCTGGGACACCTGAACAATCCATTAAAAGCTTCTAAAAAGCAGGAAACCCCAGGAGACAAGTGGCCTTCCCTCGGGCAGAAACCTGGCCCTGGCACGAGGTGCTTTGCAGGTACTGGGGGAGGGCTGTGCTGAGACCCCCAGCCTCACCTCCCCTCTCCCACCAGGCCTGGGAGAGCAAGCTCATCTTCCCCCCACAAAAACAGAGTGGTTTTATTTGTATGGTGTGGTTAAATCGATTTTATAGAACTTCAGCTGTAACAGAGAAGCTGCAAGAATGACACACGCATAAAAGTGCAGACACGCGGGGTATTTCCCTGCTTTATCATTCTCATCCTGTGCTTCCTGAACTCACAAACCAGCAAAATATAATAAAATAAAATAAAATATCAAATGAAATAACATGAAATAAAATAAAATAAAAATAAGTTAAAAGAAATAAAATAAAATAAATTATTAAATTAGATAAAGAAATAAGGTAAATTAAAATAAATATAAAATAAGAAAAATAAGAAATAAAGTAAAATAAGATAAAATAAGAAATATTTGTTAAAAATATAAAATAAGAAATAAAATTAAAATAAGATTAAATAAGTAAAAGAAATTATGAAATTAGATAAAGAAATAAGATAAGTTAAAAAAATAAAATAAGAAATAAAATTTTTAAAATATAAAAAATAAAATAAAATAAAATAAAATAAAATAAAATAAAATAAAATAAAATAAAATAAAATAAAATACTTGTTTCTGCCCAGACCTGGAGGACCCCACATGGAAAACCTTCCCAAAATCGATGCTGGTCTTGCTTCTGCCTCCTCACCTGAGCTCACCTAACTGGGATGCCCACTCAGCTCCCAGTCAAGAGCACTGGGAAAGGTCCCGAGGGTCCCTCTGCACACCGAGGCCGCTCCTCTGGAAGCAGCACCCCCAGATTCCCCCATCCTGCTCAGCACTGCACAGGAATCCCTCCAGCCCTGCTCAGCACCTAAACCCCCCCAGCCTCCTGGACTGACCAAGGGACCCCCAAAACTGACTCAACACCTCAGAGCTCCTCTGCAGAGAAGTGAGGGACCCCCAGCCAGAGCCTCTGATTTCAGGTGAGGGGGGGACGAGCTGGGGCAGGGTGGGCACAGGGCGGGGTGTCACTGACCTCTGCGGGGACACTGGGGACAGGGGGATGGCCCTCGCCTCCCCAGGAGAGCCAAGCAGGGGGATGTCACCACATCGGGGCCAGAGCCACCCCTGGCATAGCCCTTCCTGCTGCTGGAGGACACAGGGAGCTGTTCCCAGTGACAGGGACACACCACACTGTGCTGGGGGACACAGGGACCTGTCCCCTGTGACAGGGACACACCACACTGTGCTGGGGGACACAGGGACCTGTCCCCAGTGACAGGGACACACCACACTGTGCTGGGGGACACAGGGACCTGTCCCCTGTGACAGGGAGACATCACACTGTGCTGGGGGACGCAGGGTGACACAGGGACCTGTTCCCAGTGACAGGGACACACCACACTGTGCTGGGGGACACAGGGACCTGCCATGGTGCCAGGGTGACCTCACGCCTTGCTGGGTGTCCCCCACACGTCCAGGACCATGAGGTGTGACCCAGGAGCAGATCCAGGCTGCCACGGGAGTGCTCCTGGGTCACCTCCCGGATCCAGATCCAGCCCTGGGGCTCTGGGCTCTCCCTGGAATCTCGTCCCCACCCTCCAGCCCTGCCATCAACCCCCAGCTGGGTGCATGGGGTCGAGTTTTGGGAGAAGAACCCAAAAAATGGAAACCAGATGCTGGTGTGACCAGAGCCTCCCCCACAGACCCGCACTCCCTGCTCCTTGCTCTGCACCACCCCATCTGAGCACCCAGGAAGAGTTCCTGCTCCTCATGGGGGAGATTTTCTCTGTATCTACATGGGAACTTTTCCATCCTCAGCGTGAGGTGCCTGGTGGGGTTTGTGAAGCTGGAGAAGGGAACAGAGCTGGGAGAACAGGGCCTTCCTCACATGGGGGCACATCTTCACAGGGATGGTGACATCGCTCCCAGTACTCCCAGTACCTCATCCTGGTACCACCCTACATATAACACCCCACTGTCCATGTCCCCCATGGCAGTTCCTTCCCAGACAGGGGTTCTGTGTGACACCCCATAATCCCATCCACATCCTGGGGCAATGGCCTGGCTGCTGCCTCCTGCCCTGCCCAGCCCCAGCCCCAGCCCACGGGGTACCAGCCACCCTGGGGGATGCTCCAGCTCCCTTTGGAGTGTTTCCACCTCCCCACAGTTCTTCTGGCAC